TTTTTTTGAGACGGAGTTTCGCTCTTGTTACCCAGGCTGGAGTGCAATGGCGCGATCTCGGCTCACCGCAACCTCCGCCTCCTGGGTTCAAGCAATTCTCCTGCCTCAGCCTCCTAAGTAGCTGGGATTACAGGCACGCGCCACCATGCCCAGCTAATTTTTTGTATTTTTAGTAGAGATGGGGTTTCACCGTGTTGACCAGGATGGTCTCGATCTCTTGACCTCGTGATTCACCCGCCTCGGCCTCCCAAAGTGCCGGGATTACAGGCTTGAGCCACCGCGCCCGGCCCCCGCCTCCCAGGTTTAAGCAACCCTCCTGCCTCAGCCTCCTGAGTAACTGGATTACAGGCACGCACCACCACACCCAGCTATTTTGTATTTTTAGTACAAATTGGGTTTCTCCACATTGGTCAGGCTGGTCTTCAACTCCTGACCCCGTGATCCACCAGCTTCAAGCTCCCAAAGTGCTGGGATTACAGGCATGAGCCACCATGCCTGGCCTTAAAGTACTATTCTTAATTGAAAGTGGGAAATTACTCCATAGTAAGGACCCAAGGAACCTATGGAAGACTGGTTGATCATCATGTCCACCAATACTCCAAAAATAATTCAGACTGAAGTTTATAAACCAGTCTTTAGTTTGGATAAAGGATTAACCTCCCCCATCACCCTTGAGAAAGCAAAGGAATCTGGTGAGATCCAGCTGGCTTTGGCTCTCTTCATTAGAGGCACACTTTTGTGAAGAGCCGGCATTCATCTCATGGCAGACACAGAATCCTCTTCTTTTGCTTCACTGGATTTATAAGCATCTTGAAAACAATCACTTCTTTTTTCTGCACAGGGTTTATATCTGTGAGTACCTCAGAGCTGTCCTTAAGAGTAAGTCAAGGTTCACAGACTCTTCTATCCTCAAGGCCTGCCTCCAACTTGGGACTGTCCAAACTGCATCCTGACAAACATTATCCCATTCACTAAGCAAAACTATTTCTCACCTGGAGGTGGTGCCAAGACACTGGCCATCCTTTTTGGAGAACTTCCACTCATTTTCACTTAGACCATGCAAGTAAACAGTGGGTGAGGTACCCTCAAAATGTATGTTCCTTACGCATCATGAAGGTGGGCAGTCAGGAAGGAAGCCAGCCCAAATCACAGAATTTTAACTGCTGACCAAACCATGACCAGGTGGGGCAAATGTTTAGGTTCTTCATAGGATATAATATGAAGAAACTGGTGTATGAATGTAGAGAATTGGACTAGAATCCAGAAATGGTGTTCCATTTATTAACTGAAAAAGAGGGAGATTAGGCCTTCTTCATTCATTTTTCTCCAATCTCCCTCCCCTCATTTTTTTTCCAAAATAACAACACACTGAGAAACATGTTTGTACAAAAATCACATATTATTCCCCCCCTCACAAATTCAGGTGGCTGAACTACAGGAATAAAACCAGATCAAATATATGAAAAGAAACAGTCACCACTTATACTGAAACATAACAGTGTTAAGAATTCAGGTATTTTGTAGAATTATTACTATAGTAAAAATATTTCCACCTGGATCTTTTAAATTTGAAAGTGATCACATTAAAGACCTGAGGTTAAAAGGGACCACAGTATGAACCAGAATTCCATTTTCCTTCTAGGACTCCAGGGGAACAGGTAAGTATTTGGAATGAGTTTCCTTTGGGAAAGACTGGCGGGAAGTAGGGAAAACCCTGGCCCATTGTCAAAAGGCACTGGGGTCTTTCTGGAGCCAAATGCATTGGAACTAAATTCCAATCAGGAATAAACTCATTCCCATTTCCACTCCCAAGAGTCCAGAACAAAAACAAAAGGACCAAGGTCTCCTCGGTTCCAGTATTCCAGTACTTTGATGGTGACCAGGGCCACCTGGTTAGAGGCAAACCTGAGGGTTTGAAAGGCAAATCTCAATTGTGGTTTTATTTTTTTGCTTTCTGATATTAAGGAAAGAAGTTCTAAAGTGTTTTAAAGACACCTCCCTATACCCTCTCATATGTAAAGCTTTAGAAAATATATAGAAAAAGATATCCAAAAGATGTCCACCTTGCATTCTAAATAATCAAACTGCCACTTGAGAATGTGAAGTGAGAAAGCCAGGTGCTTTCAGGAAACTAAGCTCTACCAAAAACACCCTTTCCCCACACACGGAAGGATAGAAGGGAGGGAAGAATAAGAGGAGAAAACCAGGAACTCTCAAGTCACTTATCAGCAGGGGTAAATGTGGGCTCAAATTAAGGCATTTTTGTGGCTTGTCCTCTGGAATGGCATTTTACCCTCCCAGCCTGAGCACCCCAGACCTCAAAGCATGATGCTCTGACTGCCAAGGGAGTTCCTTGTTACCCTCAGCATCTCTTTGAAAACCCTGTGATAGATGGAATGTGAGATCCCAGAAAAGAAGGAAGAGGTATAAGAAGCTGATATCCTGCTTCACTTCTCTCATTCCATCTTAACTTTAAAAGTACCGGTTCATGAAATTCCACTCCCTGGCTACTGTAACAAGAGGTAGTTTGGGGACTTGTACCCCCAGCCATCCTAACCAAGCTCCATGAGCTAAAATATTTAGCACTATCTACTTTTTTTTTTTTTCTTTTACGGGGTTTTTTAAAGAGGGAGAAAAAAAATGCACATAAAGCAGTGAATAGTAGGCTAGATTCATTGGGGGGCCATTACCCTAGACTCCTAACTTTCCAGGCTAGTTGAAGAAACTAAGGACTGCCTCCCAATATTCCAATCCTCAAAGCTCACACTGCTCTCAGAAAAACAAAACACTCATCCTCAATCCAACGAATCATCTGCATAGAAAACCAGAGCCAGTGGTCCTGGGGAAGAAGTGGATGTTTGTGCTTTCCTCTAGCACATACTAGTTCAGTGATATGTTCTGCCACGCAGTGTGAAGGCCCTCAGAGGCCTCACTAGGGAATAAAATCACTGAGGTTCTCCTTCCACATCTCTTTTAATTTCACACATGTGTGTGGCAAAAGTCTCAAACTTCACCATCAGCACCATTCTTAGCTCAGAAAAGCAGAAATAAGGTCACTTATAATGCCTTAAGGTTTGTCCCCTGTGGCTATCCCCCTTCTGCCCATCACTATTTTTTGGTTCCTATTAACTTAGGATGCTCTCCTTTAAAACAATAGTAAGATAAAAACATAATGATTATACAGCATTATCCATAGAAGCTTAAGACAAAGCAAAAAACTGAAAGAGAGCAAAAATGATAAGACATAGCATGCTAAAATTGACAGGACCTGCAGAGAAACTGTCAGCATACCCCCACACCAGGAGAGGGGAGATGCAGATATTTTAAGGATGACCAGGGCACACTGTCACCACAGGTTTCCCCTTGTATGTTGGCTGAGGACCCAACACAAAAAGTGTCAAAAGAGAGGGGTGGTAAGAGGAGTTGGGAGACACAGGACACGTGCTTGGAGCTGTGAGAAGAAAAATCCTGAAAGAAACCCAAGAAAGTTGAGGAACACAAGTCTTGTTGTCCCCACTCCAGCTCATGGTGGTGGGCGTGGATGTTCCCTGCATCTTCCAGGCTAAGGAGCAGCTGAGGCTGGCGGGCCTGGAGCAGGAGGAGGAGGAACCCCATCTGCAGGTGGTGGTGGTGGCGGCTGCTGCTGTGGTGGAGGGGGATCTGCAAACACATCCAAGAGTAACTTGTTATTGCTAAAAATACAAGGGACTTGGGAAAGAGCCTATTCAGTGAAAAAATGACACAGAAGTCATTTTGTTAGTGGCAAGCAACCAATGCAGCCTGGGAGGCATGGATTCCACTGTGGTCTATGCAGGTCAGTTCCTTCTGAACCTCCAGGCCACTGCTCATGTTGCTTAGCCTAACCCAAGTGATTGGGGAGTGGGAGGTGTCTGAATTTCCCCCACCCCTCTTCCAGGCCAACTCCTTCCAAGAATCGCTTTAGACCCTTTCAAAAGTTAATTTTGATTTTATTGTATTTCAATGGTTCTAATTTTATTTCTTCAGTTAAAAAATAAGCTCTTTCCTGGGCCAGTTCTGCCTCTTTCTTTCTGCCACAGTGCCCAGCTAGGCTGGGCACAAAATAGATTATCAATAAATTCTTGCTATTTAAATAGAACCAGAGAGCTTCACTTGAGGCAGTTGCTGACAAACTGGATAGTCCAGGGAGGCCTCCATAGCTCCTGAACTGCAGTCCTTGGATTTTTGGCCCAAACTAGGTCATGTCCTGAAGGGAACAATTAGTATGAGTGTCTGGGGCTCTTTCCTATTTCAACTTCAGCTGCTTTAGTGTACAAAGCAACCGTAGAGATCATTTAATCCGGATTTTAAAAACCCCTAGATCTTGCCAGAAATGAAAACCTATGAAACACAGTGTAGCCTTGCTCACCAATCAATTCACCCAACTCTATGCCCAAGAGGTTTCTACCAAACCCTTAAGACTCTTCAAAGCATTTTGAAACTCACTGATCTAATCCCTTGTGTCATCTTTCAGTGGAAGAAATGAAGGGCTGAAGTGGAGAAGCAATTCATTCAATGTCACCTACCTAGTATCCTAGAACCAATTCACATGGCTCAGAATTCCCAGAGCACTGATTTATGGCAGAACCAGGCAGTGGCTAGGGAGGTGCCACCTAAAACCCTCCCCATTCTCAAGGAGCTCTACTGAGGTCCCTTTGGGAAGGAATCCTTAAGTGTAAAACATGGGTGGCCAGGACATGACAGTGGTAAAGACCAGTGATACTACCTCTGCAACAGGGAGGGAAAACTGGTCAACAATCTTGGTAGACTAGTTTTGCGTATGGTGCACAGGGTGGTCTGACAAACATTTTATTGCCAAGAAAAAGAGATAACTACTGTACTATACAACTTCTGACCACGAGCTTAAGGGAGGTAATTAAAAAAAACTGTTGTAATCTTATACTGTATACCTACATAAATTACTGTTTTTCTTCTGTGCTCTTTGTCCCAGACTCTGGGGGCCAGAGAAGAGTAAGACATGTTTCTGTCCATGAAGTCTCCCAGAGTATTATGGTGCACTTATAGCATATCCCACAGTCTCATGTAACCTTTGGTAAGTTCTATCCAAGTTTTCATTTCTTGTTTTCCCAACTAAAGCTCCTACAGAGCAAAAATTCTTATGCTTCCTATCTCTCTGAACTATAAATAATAGCTAAACTTTTGGCCACATGTGAACTTCTACATGAACCTAAGATTAGAGATGTGGCTGGGGTACCTGACCCACTACTGGCTGCATTTCAGGATCCTCCTGAATGGGAAGGCCTTCTGGAGTAAAACGCAGGCCAGAGCCTCTAAAGCAACCCTTAGGCCAAGGCTGAAGTGGAGCAAGAGCCTATGGGAGAAATGACCTGGCCTCTAAACACAACCTCAGACAAGTATCACTTAGCAGCATCAGTGCTTTCTCCATTGAGCTTGCTGGGACTCCCTATTTCGTCTCAACACAGCCCCTGAATAGTACTTTCTTACTTTACACAGCCACTACTAATAAACCAAGAATGGCTACAAGAAACATACTTGTTATTCCACCTCTAAGCTCACTTCTATTCTTTTCTCTACACACATCACCTTTGAACCCTGTATCTAAAAAAGGCTCCTCCTGTAGAGAAAATAACAACCAGTAGCTCTACCTGTCTGTTGAGTCAAAAATAAGACAGGTTTAAATAGGAGTGGGAGATGAGTATCTTTTTGGTCCCAATGCCGACAGTGCATGCCATAAAGGCAATGGTACACAATGCTGATTAGAATAATTTTTTCACCTGTGCACCTGCCCATCAGGGGTGCTGAAGAATACAGACTGAAAACTGGTCTTCTAGAAGCCACTGTCACAGACTGGATCATCCATGAACCTGCCAAATCTCAGGGAGAGAACAAGGCCTCCTTCCCTTATCTACAGCCCTCCAAGACAGACCAGACCCTGAGATAATGCATCCCCCCACCATGCTACTTACACATGCCATTAGGTGCTGTCAGGGGTACCCGGGGTCCTAAGATGTTTCCTGGCATTGGAGGCATGCCAGGAGGGGTGGGACCACTCCCAGAGGGGTGGATGTTGGCTGCAACAGTGGGAATCATGCGGCCTGCCATGTGCTGTCCAGGCATCATGGAACCTGGGCCTGGTATCTGACCTGTGGAGGGACATTGAAAGTACTGTAAGCATTCTAGAAAGGGGTATAAGAAAGTGATCAACTTAATGTCTAACTCCTAAATTCAGACCTTCCAAAGGATCTGAAATACCAAGAAAGCAATAATCTGTAATAATCTCTATGTCTAGCTTTTTCTATTCTGGGTTTATTGGAGGGAGGGTGTTAATTGGGGTAGGTCTGTGGGGTGACTGATTATTCTAAACACTGGCAAGCAGGTAGCTGTAAAAAGAAATGGCAAAGGTTCTCTAGAAGAAAGTACTCATTCTTGCTAGTTTGGGTGAGCAGTAGATTGTCAAATGTCTTCCTTAGGATATACAATGCCAAGCACAGACCATGGGGAATGGAGAGGACTTTAAAAGGAGGTCAGTCAGTAAAAGGACCACAACCCAGTCCAGATTGTGCTCCATGGCTTCCAGGGAAGGTCTGTCTGAAAGGGTAGTAGCACTGTGAAATCACCATTAAAAGGGGATTCTGATCTGAATCCCCAAGACCTGTCCACAAAAATTTCTCCCATTAAAAGCCTCATGTATGGTTCATTTAAAAAAAAAATATATATATATATATTGGCCAGGCATGGTGGCTCATACCTGTAATACCAGCACTTTGGGAGGCTCAGGTGAGCAGATCATAGGGTCAGGAGATGAAGACCATTCTGGCTAACATGGTCTCTACTAAAAATACCAAAAAAAAAAAAAAAAAAAAAAAAAAAAGCAGAGGTGGGCGGATCATGAGGTCAGGAGTTCGAGACCAGCCTGCCCAACATGGTGAAACCCCATCTCTACTAAAAATACAAAAATTAGCTGGGCGTGGTGGTGGGCACCTGCAATCCCAGCTACTTGGGAGGCTGAGGCAGAAGAATCACTTGAACCCGGGAGGCAGAGTCTGCAGTGAGCCAAGATAGCGCCACTGCACTCCAGTCTGGGTGACAGAGCGAGACTCCATCTCAAAGAAAAAACAACACAACAATGAATAACTTATAGAGCCTACCATGAAGCACTGGAGTGGGGAAACACAGACATCTCTTCCTATTGTTTTCTTTCTTTCTTTTGGAGATGGAGTCTCACTCTGTCGCCCAGGCTGGAGCGCAGTGGCACTCAGCTCACTGCAACCTCTGCTTCCTGGGTTCAAGCGATTTTCGTGCCTCAGCCTCCCAAGCAGGTGAAATTACAGGTGCCCGCTACCATGTCCAGCTAATTTTTTGTATTTTTAGTAGAGACGGGGTTTTGCCATGTTGCCAGGCTGGTCTTGAACTCCTGAGCTCAGGCAGTATGACTGCCTTGGCCTCCCAAAGTGTTGGGATTACAGGCCTGAGCCACTCTTCCTATTGTTTTCTAATTAATGACAGAAGACCCTACAGTACTCAATACTGTTGTTCAATAGTGAGGGACACAAACACTAAAGGAATCATTTGAGAGATGAGAATCATGAGAATCAATGTAGTTTTTTTTTTTTCTTTAAATCTAGGGACTTCACTATCTATGTAAAAGGACAACTGTATGAAACTGAATATAGGTTAGAAGACGGTATTGAGACAGCTAGAAATAAGAATGCTTGATCTTGAAAAATGCGGAGATGGGACCATTTAATAGCTAACTGGCAATTAAAATACAGAAAGCAGTATTGAATACTGAGGGACAAGAACGCTAATATACCTCCTGTATTCAGTTTCATACCCTTTGGAAAACTATTTCTGTAAAGAGCCAGATAGTAAATATTTTAGTCTTTGCCACCCATACGGTCTGTATCACAACTATTCAACTCTGCAATGTAAGCATGAAAGCAGTCATAGATGATACACAACAAATAGGCATGGCTGTGTTCTAATACATATTTACGAACTCTAAAAGGTTAATTTCACAATTTTTTCACGTGACATGAAACATTATTCTTATTTTGATATCCGCCCCATCCCCAACCATTGAGATTATAAAAACCACTCTTAGCTTACAACCTGTATAAAGAACAATTGATGAGCCAGAGTTCATCCTAGGCTATAGACAATCCCTGCTTTGGACATGATGGTAAATATTTATTAGTTCTTAAACCAAGTGATTTGGCTGCTGGGCTTGTTTTGTTTTGTTGAGACAGGGTCTCATTTTCCACCCAGGTTGGAGTGCAGTGGTGCAATCACAGATCATTGCAGCCTCAACCACTTTGACTCAAGTGATCTTCCAGCCTTAGTCTCTCAAGCAGTTGGAACTACAGGTAAGCACCACCATGCCTGGCTAATTTTTAATTTTGTAGAGATGGGGCCTCAATGTTTCCCAGGCTGGTAGTCCTGTTTTTTGTTGTTGTTGTTTTTGAGATGGAGTCTCACTCTGTCGCCCAGCCTGGAATGCAGCGGCATGATTTCAGCTCACTGCAACCTCTGCCTCCTGGGTTCAAGCAATTCTCCTGACTCAGCCTCCCAAATAGGACTACACATGTGCATCACCATGACTAATTTTTTTTTTTTTTTCCTGTGTTTTTTAGTAGAGATGGGGTTTCACTATGTTGGCCAGGCTGATCTTGAACTCCTAATGTCAGGTGATCCACACACCTCAGCCTCCTAAAGTGATGGGTTTACAGGCATGGGCCACTCACACTGTACCTGGTTGTAGTCTTGGTTTTAAAGAGTAATAAATTAAGGAGAATAATTTAATAGGCACAATCAAGTCTCTTTTTTTCTTTTTTCTGAGACAGAGTCTTGCTCTGTCGTAATCTTGGCTCACTGCAACCTCCGCCTCCCAGGTTCAAGTGATTGTTCTGCCTCAGCCTCCCAAGTAGCTGGGATTACACGTGTGTGCAACTGTACCCAGATAATTTTTGTGTGTGTGTGTGTATATATATATATATATA